CTCTGTCATTTGAGATGCGGAGGCGGCCGTCCCCATGCCAGGGATGGGCTGAGACTGGGCTAAATATGCGATGGGCTGGATGGCATTTGAGCGCTGCCCTTCCTGTTAGAGTTGGGAAAGTGCAATGCTAAAATACACAATGGTGTTTTAAGCACTTAGGGTGGAAAGTAATAACCCCTGTTCGAGGTCATGCTCCTCCTCGCGTGCGAACACCGGGCACGTGAGGGTCTGCCCCGTTGGCCATTGGGGGGCTGGTCCTCGGTGCCTGGGGAAGGACATGACCATGACAATGTAGAGGTGTCACGTACGCAGGCAGTGCTGCCAGCCCGCGTGCATGCCTCTGCCCTCGCTCCTATTAAAGGAAGGAGTTGGCACGCTGCTTGTCTTTGGAAAATTCCTGGTCCCCAACTCTCTCTTCACTTCCTGCCAACAAAAAGCATTTCCAACCTCACCGTTGTCCTAAAAAGTGAGACCTAAACCCCTTGTCATAAATAAGCCTGGAGGTCCGGATCCAACGTGGGGGTCTTTGCCGGGTCACTTGCAGCATAACAGAGCCTGGAGGGATGGAGGATGAAGGAACGTGATGCTCAGAGGCGGCAGGTTTCAAGCTGAGCCTTGAGAGGAGGGGTCACTAGAAAAGCCTGTGGCTGTTTCCCAGGGTCTCAGACTGATGGTGTTTACTGGGCTTCAAATCAGACTGGGACCAGCGTGAGAGGCCACTAAAACATGGGGCGGCAGCTGCCCTGCTGAGCACCAGCCCTCTCAGGAAGGCTGGACCACCTCGGGCTGGTGCAGATGGTGGCCAAGCCCGTATGGTAACACATGGGTTAATCTCATTGTGGTTTGATTTTTCCCCTTTTTTGCCCAGGCATCGTTTCCGTGCACCTCAAAAAAGACAACCTCGGCAACCTGACGCTGATCGCCGGCCCCAGCCTGCAGCCAGAGAGCTGCGGCCGGCTGGACAACGCCATCGGCGACTCCTCGGTGACCATATGGCACAAGTGCAAGTGGGCTACCAGCACCGGCACTGGCAGCGAGCACACGCTCGTCAAGTGGAGTCACACCCAGCTCACCAAGACCTTCAAAGACAGGTAAGGGTCTGCTGCTCCTGCAAACCTCCTCCTTGTCCTCACCTTGGGTATAGAATCATAGAATCATGGAATGGTTTGGGTTGGAAAGGACCTCAAAGATCATCCAGTTCCAACCCCCCTGCCATGGGCAGGGACACCCCCCACTACACCAGGTTGCCCAAAGCCTCATCCAACCTGGCCTTGAACACTGCCAGGGATGGGGCAGCCACAGCTTCTCTGGGCAACCTGTTCCAGTGCCTAACAGTACTGGTACTGGGCTGGTTTGGGTGGCACAACTCCTGGTTTAAGGCAAAGTGAGCAAAAGCAATGCCCAGCCAAAGTGAAGAAAAGCAAAGCCCAGCTTGGTGGCTTCGTGGTTCGTCTCCTCCCCGGCTTGTGGATGGAGCGGGCAGATCTGGCTATCGCTGAGATGCTGGTGCTCAAATTTGTGCCTCAGACTCTGCTTTAAACCTGTTTCCTCGCAGCACAGCACGCTCCAAAAGGAGGAGAGGCCCCAGAACAGCCACCTAGCACCCAGCACCCAACACCTTTCTGCTGGTAACCAGCCAGAAGTAGCAGCCTCGAGGGTGGGTTGATCCTGTCCTCGTCCCAGAGGACAGCTGTCTTGGAAAGGCATTGCGGTGCTTGCGAGCACAGCGCGACCTTAGGGCTTGCAGAGGCTTTCTGTGAGACATCTTTCATCTCAAACTGGTTCAGAAAAGACCGAGGTCAGCTGTGACTGAAGGGTGCAATATCGCTACCCTGAAACCGCTGCCCTCGGCGCGAAGGGAGTTACGGGTTTTGGATGAGTGAGACCAAGGAATGACCCTCCCAAGGAGAACAAATCTCCTCTTTGCTCCCTCCCTCCCCTCCTCGAAGCCAGCACCTCTATACGTGGAATCAGTCCTGCCGGACAATTTGCCTGTGTTGTGCCTGTTAGGGAGATAAATAGAGATCCCTGGTCACTGGTGCTATGAACAGCACTTTTCACAGGAGCCAAGCACACTTTGAAATTGTAATAAAGAAAATATTGGCACCCAGCAATAGCTGGCTTTCTGGAAATTACTTTTACGAAGTAACAAAAGATTTCCACAGGTTGGACATGATGACTATGTTTCCTTTGAGAGTCCCTGAAAATTTACCTCATCAAGTGTGAGGCTCAACAAAAGAAGAGAGGAGGGAATAGTCTCTTCTGGAGCTTATAAATCAAACGTGTTCTTTTGTGTGGTTTGTGTAGCTGCCCAGGGAAGATGCTGCTGAGGACAGACCTTCAGTACCGCACAGATTCACTTTTGGAAGATGCAAACGGAAACCAGCCAGAAAGAAACAGCTACAACCCCTGGGGACTGCACTGTCACAGGCAGCACCTGAACCGCATGTCCTCCAAGCATAATGAGAACAAACTTCATCGTATCCTTTTTCCTCTCTCCCCTCCAGCATAGTCTTGGCTACAAATAACAGCTCATAATCATGTATGTTTTATCGCAGGGGGTATGCATCCCTCCTCTGCCAGTCCCTGGGAAAAGACAGAATAGACAGAATATAGTTGCTCTGTCACCTTCTCCCACTGTTCAGTTGGGAGATGATCATTGTAGGTCCCTTCCCTTCCCTTCCCTTCCCTTCCCTTCCCTTCCCTTCCCTTCCCTTCCCTTCCCTATTCTATTTTGTTTTCCATTCTGTTTTCTATTCTATTCTATTCTATTCCATTTTCTATTCTATTTTCTATTCTATTCCATTCCATTCCATTCCATTTTGTTCTGTTCTTAAAAAAATAAAACGAAAAACCCTCACCCACTTCCCATACAGGGTATTCCGCATAAGTCAAGGATCCCCTTGGCATACATTTAAAACCACAACTATATAGGAATTAGCAGCTGCCTCGCCTTTTATTTTCCTATTACACTTCATTACCCGCCAGTCATGTGAGTAATACAGTTTAACAACTTCCCCCACACCCACTGCAGCGAGGGCAGCACCGAGGCGAAGCGTTGGATCGACAGCCCAGGGCTATCGTGTCACTAGAGAACGGAGCTGTTGGTGCTTTAATTGGTAGGACTGTACTACAGTAAATTAACTGAAATTGGCAGCAAGGGGCCTGTAGCAATGACATGTTGGTAAAATTGGCTCAGAAAGTCTCATTGCAGTTGTGAGCTATTATGGAGAGCGTCAGCAGTCGCTGTGATTTAAGAGCTCTTTCAGTTAGAATTTGAAAGTATTGGGTTTCCCTTAACTCGTGTTCAGAGTTTCTATTGCTTGAAAACGTGGTATCGAAATACAACTATCCCTGTATCCTGGACTTAAAGATGGGAACGCGGCAGCACGGCGATGATGCCTCGGAGGAGAAGAAAGCCCGGCACATCAAGAAGTGTGAACAAAGCACCTCTGCGTCTCTGGGCGTTCGCATCTGTGGGATGCAGGTAAGACGCAGCCTGGGTCCTTTTGGTGTTTGCCCAACACACAGCTTGAAACCAAGCTGGAAATCTTGGTGGTGTAAATCAAAGCACTTTCATTCTCGTCTCCCACCAAACACTGTAAGAACTGGCCTCTTGACTGCCTGTCTTGTCCTCAAACAGGAGAGGATGCTTAGGAAGAGTATAGAACATGGCACCTATAGGGTAACCCTTTCCCCATAACCTCTTTGACTTCTGAGATTTGGCTGCTTTTCACAAGCGGTGGCTGCCTAAACACCACTCTGCACCACTGCCACCAGTATGAGCAGCTGGAATCAGGTTCACCCCAGCTGAGAATCTGCCTGTACACAAGCACAGATTCCTCTCTCACGCTCAGCTCTTGGCTGCTGCACAAAAAAACAAGAGAAACAAAAAAGCATCCCTTGCCCCGCTCCTGCCTTCGCAGAGCTGGCTCATCCTGTTGCCTCAGGGGTCAGGGGTTTATTTTGTGCTAAATATTATGGTTCCTCTTGCTCAGAATCGCTGCCCCTTCTCCCTAGAAACTGAAACCACGCGTTTGTTGCCCTCATTTCTCCAGCAGCTTTCAAAATGTTGTTCTGCTGTGCCTGAAGGATAATTACGAGAATGATGATTATAAAGCACATCTATAGCAGTGTAAACACTCGGTGCCAAAACCTGTGTCCCTTTCTGGTCTCTGACATCCTTCCGTTGAGCAGATTCCTCTTTAAATGACAAGTGGCATGTGAGCTAATTCTGAATTCACTCTCTCATTTCTTACTCAGTGTTACCAGTGCCTCACATACAAATTTCTGTCTGTATCTGCTCTCTCTGTGTTTAAGAAGGCAGGATTGTCGTGCAGCACGCGCTGCGCGAAGGTACAAAGCTGGGGTGTTCCTGCACTTCTGCAAACTCCTAGCAGAGCCAGAGGGAAAATGCTGTAAATCACTGGTGACACAGCTATGACTTACAGCTATTTGGGTTTCACAAAGGGGTAATTTATAGCAGTACAACAAAATCAGCACTAGTGGTTTAAATTGAACAGTTTAAATCTCCAGAAAAGACAGGAGGTGGGATTCAGCGAGCAGCCTGCAGTACATTGCCAGCATTGCTAGATCTTGCTAGACTGCAGAGGATGTGCGTCCCATTCCTCAGCTTGGGTCTGAACTTTGTAGATAAGGGTGAAATCCAGAGCTTTGGGAAAACGGAACAACTGAATCTGGATTGTTGCTCTCTTTCCTCAAGGTTTACCAAGCAGACACTGGCCATTTTCTCTGCAAAGATAAGTATTACGGCAGGAAACTCTCACCGGAGGGATTCAGGCAAACCTTGCGCCAGTTCCTGTGCAACGGTAACCACCTCCGAACGGATCTCCTGGAGCCCATCATCCTGCGGCTGAAAGCTCTGCTTTCTGTCATTAGGAAGCAAAGCTCGTACAGGTTCTACTCCAGCTCACTCCTCATCATTTATGATGGGCAGGAGCACAAGGAGAACACGGCACCCTTGGATAATCACCTTCACTTCCAAAAAACAAACTGCACCACGTCACCCGGCACTAATCACTCCAGAGTGGACGTCCGGATGATAGACTTTGCCCACACCACTTTTAAAGGCTCTAAATGCAATCACACCACTTACGACGGGCCAGACCACGGCTATATTTTCGGCCTGGAGAATCTCATCAAAATCCTTCAGAATATCTCAGAAGGAAAATGACAATTCTGTGAAATAACCTGGATTTACTAGTGACCGATAGCCCTGAAAAGTACCGCCTTGGGTCAGCTGTATGGGGCCCTCCCAGCTGCTGGATGTGACGTGCACGGTTTGGAATGAGAGCACGGACAGCTTGCTAGGAAAGCGCAAAACACGCTACGTGCCATTACTGAACTCAAGCGTAAAAAGCAAAGAGCTGAAAGAATCCGTCCTGTCTGCAATCAATCAGAAGATTTATTTTCCCTTCTTGTTTTACTGCTGTCCTTGATTTATTTGTGAGCCAAAAGAAAGCATTACTTGAAAGAGTCTTAATGATAAAATAGGACCTGCTCACCTCTACACTCACGAAGCCAAGCGGGCTAAGGAGATATTGTGCATTTGAGTGAGACTATTAAAACGAGCTGGCAGAGCTGAACAGATTGCAGCATTGCTTTCAACTCATGCTCAACTCCACGGGCTGAAGGCGAAGCCACAGAGGGGAGAGAAAAACGTGCGCCCTGACATTCACGCTCCGCACGCCCAGCGCTGCGAGACGCTGGGGTGTTCTCTGCGGGTGTCGAAACACAGACGTGTGAGATGCTGCAGAGGTTCTGCGCTGCTTAAAGAGTAAAAGCAGGGGAACCTCAGACCAAGAACTGGACCTCGCAGAGGTTTAATATCCCTGCGGGATTGTAACAGGGCATGTTTCAGAAATTTTCTAAGCAAGGGGCTCCGCAGGGGCTGGAAGTATGGGAATGCGATGATTCTGTCAGGTATCAGACACAAAAAACATTCACATCAAGGTATTTTTGCTTAAAAAAAAGTGTGAGATTGAGTCAGGGACTAGACATTGAAGGTCACCTAGAAATTCTTTGATACAAATTATCATGTGTGTGTTTGGAAGAGACAATAACAAAATACTCAAAATAATGTTTACAGCTTTTGCGGACAGATTTTATTATTATGGAACAAACATAATTCCTTCCTGCATGTGGGAAACCTGAAAGAGAAGTCCTTACACAAGGAACAGAGCTACAGAACCCCATTACTGGGGAGTGGGGATATAAATAAAATTGTCTAAGTAACTCTGACCTGTTGTCCATCTCCTTTTCACTTCCACAGCATCCTTAAGTTAACATTATCTTTTGTTTAGGGCTGTATGTTTTGAAGAGAGCCGTTATTTTCACAGGTTTAAACACCAGATCTCAAGGGAGACCCCTTCATTTGTAATTTACTGCATACAGCTGGTGAATTGCTACAATTTATAGCTGGAAAATTTAAGTCATCTGGCCCAGTTGCATTATTTTACTTGGCCTGAAGCCCATCTGGGAAGACCTCGGTATTTACTGGGTATTGTTTGCAGTGTTGCATATTTCTTGCCCACAAACTCAGGTATCTGACTATAAAAAAAAAAGCCACAAACTGCTTCAAGTAGTGAAAGGACCGAGTCATCCATTGTGGTGGATGTGGTCCTGTGACCAGTGCTATGGGCAGCCCAGAGAGCCAACCATATCCTGGGCTGCATCCAGAGCAGCATGGGCAGCATGTCGAGGGAAGGGATTCTGCCCCTCTGCTCTGCTCTGTGAGACCCCACCTGGAATACTGCGTTCAGCTCTGGAGTCCCCAGCACAAGGACATGGAGCTGCTGGAGCGGGGCCAGAGGAGGCCACGGAGATGATGCGAGGGCTGGAGCACCTCTGCTATGGAGCCAGGCTGAGAGAGTTGGGGCTGTTCAGCCTGGAGAAGAGAAGGCTCCAGAGTGATCTTATTGCAGCCTTCCGGTACCTAAAGGGGCTACAGGAAAGCTGGAGAGGGGCTTTTTCCCAAGGACGTGTAGTGATAGGACAAGGGGCAATGGCTTTAAAGTGAAAAAGGGGAGATTTAGATTAGATATAAGAAAGAAAATTTTTACTCTAAGGGTGTTAAGGCACTGGAACAGGTTGCCCAGAGAAGCTGTGGCTCCCCCATCCCTGGAAGTGTTCAAAGCCAGGTTGGATGAGGCTTTGGGCAACCTGGTGTAGTGGAGGGTGTCCCTGCCCATGGCAGGGGGCTTGGAACTAGGTGATCTTTGAGGTCCCTCCCAACCCAAACCATTCTGTGATTCTATGACTGTGGCTCCTAACAGCTTTGCTGATGGGCTTTATACAGACCCACCTCAGCACCTGCATCACTGCTGAGCTTCTTGCTGGACCACGAAAGGGTGAAGAAGGGTCTAAAGGTGACTCCAGCTGCCAGACCCCCTTGTGAGCAGAGCAGAACACCAGCCTGGGCCGCACGCC